ATGATGAAGAAGAAGAAGATGATGAAGAAGAAGAAGATGATGAAGAAGAAGAAGATGAAGAAGAAGATGAAGATGATGAAGAAGATGATGAAGAAGAAGAAGAAGATGAAGAAGAAGAAGAAGAAGAAGAAGATGATGATGAAGAATAAAGAAGAAAACGAAGAAGATGAAGAATGAGGGAGAAATGGAGAATGAAAAAATAGAAGTGTAGGGAAAGGTTTGGGTTTAACATGCGAGGGTTCTCGCACAGATACGCTAGTGTCGTTTTAATGCGTGAAATGCTGAAAGAGCAAAGACTGCTCGGTCAACTGTAAGCCCATCTCGAATTGTTTGCGCAGAAGAGGTTTGTTCGGCTCATACATGCAGAACAAATAATTATCATACTGAATGACAAACCAATATCAAACAAATTTCGCATGAAATTGACTGAATAAATTTTAGTTTTGCTGTCATACCCATGTTTCTAAAGCACTTTAATATTGCCTTACGGTAGTCTAGGAGATATTTTTTGAAATAAAAGAAACAGAAAAATAACCGTAGTTTCCAACGTTTGAAAACAGAACACCCTACGATATTGCGACACGCCCCTTCCGTCGTTTTAGAATGATAGACCTGGATACAAGACAAATCTAGCGATGACCACCCAAAAGTGCCACGCCTCTCCACTGCCGGATATTATAATGTTTCATTCACATATTGCATGCAATTTATATTAAATGGTGTGGAAATGTGATTAGTTTAATTGGAAATATTCCTTGAAGAAAACTTTTGTTGGCACTCGGAAAGATAAACAAAACATTTATGACTCGTCTGTGAACCTGTCCATCAATTAACACATTTTATGCATTCCATTTGCATGCCTTTGCAAGTGTATCTTCTGACCAGTCCGTACATCTCTTACTCGTGGCGGGTGTTCTCTACAGAAGCTAAAAAAAACCATTCATTAAAATCCTATTTCTCTCTTTATTAATGAAGAAAAATACTTAAATACTCCATTGAAATACATATTTCCTAGAAAAACAAATTAACTTTTTTTGCGAGAAAGAAAGTTCGTTCTACTTCAAAAGCATCAATCATCAATATGATCACTCCTACCCCCAACCATCGAGTGGAAGGAAATAAGAACGATTTAATGACTTTCTGTATCTGTATTATCTCAAAGAAAGAAAAGTATAAAACTAAACTGGTGCTAAAACAGCACATTCTTTCTCGTACGCATTTTTTGCCCAAAATTACGCAAAAAGTACACAGATTTTCGAAAAATTGTACAAGACCTTATTTCAAAATCTTTATTTAAGGAACTGATTTCATTAAGAAAAAATCTCTATCTTCATAATTGTAGTTATACGAAAACACTGAAAAAATTTGAACTTTTGCACATTTTCGAAAAACCAGGGTTTTCAACAACCATGAAACCTGCACTTTTCTCTTAAACATTCTTTACACTATCCAATAACAAAATTTATACAAAAACGATGGAGCCATTTTTTTGAAAATTTGGAAAATGTCCCAGGGGCTTCATGTAAAGTACCCCTAAAATTAAAATATCAGTTTCAAATTCAAGGAGCCACGACATCAGCCTGATCGTTTGGGGAATATCAATTTTGGAGAAAATCGGCTCAACAGTTTAGCCGCAAGCGTTGTTCACGGACAGACAGACATCCATACAGACATCCATACAGACATCCATAGAGATAGACAGACTGGCACGCAGACAAACGGACAGACATTTGCCGTCAATGGATTTTCCGCTATCAACGACTCACAAAACATGGATTCTGACTACACCATGTGTTAGAGTTTTTTCTAAATTTATCCACTTTTTCGTTTCCAGGCCCCAACAATAGTTTTTCTGTCGAAAATGCGCCGTTTTTTGCGTAGCGTTACATAACTTTCTCCCTACTTCGTAGCGAGAACGTAAAAATCAACAAATATCCCGCACATTCAAGATCTAACTCTACCTAAAAGTCAATAAAGGTACAAAACTGCCAAAGTGCTGTCACCAGTTCGTATACACTATTTTATTAGTAAATTATGTGTAAACAAACCGAAAAGTGATTAATTAATAAGGAAGTGGAAATTAGGAATTTATGAATTTCCGGGTGATTATACAACTTAGTCACATTTCTGATTATTATTATTATTATTATTATTATTATTATTATTATTATTATTATTATTATTATTATTATCAATAGTATTATTTGCACTGGCAATTAACCGGTCATCTACTCTGCCATACAATCAGTGAATGATAATAAAGAATGGACCAAACAATAATGAACATGATTATAAATGATAGGCAGAGATAAAAACGGGCAGACTCAGGTATGTACTCCGGTAGAAAGAACATGGTCAGTGACCTGTAGCACACATTTCTGTTTTGGAAAGTCCCATAAAAATCAGTTCTTTTTTTCGTTTAACCAGTTTAGAGTGATCACACATTCGATAAAGAAGCTGTTCCACCTCCTTTCAAGGAGAACCGGATCACTTTCTCGCAGAAATGAAGTCAGAGCGAGAAAATGTGAACAATCTGGAAAGAGGTGGGTCTGAATCGCCGTGTTTAATGTCTCATAAATACTTTTGCTAACACGAATCGTTCTTTACCCTCGCCATCACCTTGAGAGAATCGTTTGATCTTATGCACCGGCGAAGCTATAAATGATGTCACCATAGATGTACAACCCGCAAGGTTTGTAGATGCAATCTGTCTACTGTTTTTGTTACTACAATTAGTATTGATTTGCATATTTGGCTAATCAGTTATGATATCTACTCTGAAAGGTGTAAATGTCGGCCATGATGGTGTGAATAAATAGATAAGGGTGGGAAACTAGATATAAAATGGCATATCATAGTTAAATAGTATGTTCAGGAGAATTAATTTAATTTAAGTCAATAAAGAAATAAAATAAATATCCTAATAGAGAGAGGATAGTGATGACAACCTAATTATGTGTATATCACGTTGGTATTCAGTGTTTATTACAATAATTATTTTTGTTTGCTCTTACTTGTCTTGTTAGACTATAGTAATAGTACGATCTAAGTTTTTCAACATTATATCGTAAACTTAATCATAAGACTCATTACAAGAAGGTCAGTGATGTGAGTCAATTAAATTAATGGTTATAAGGGTCAGAATTTGTTCAAAGAACCGTTTTTAATTGTGATTCCAAAGATTACAATTTTTATTGAAAACAGTTACTTTGATTAATTAATTAATATATGTATTTTATCTTTGTATCAACATCATTAAATGTTATTTATTGATATAAACATTTATTTGTGCATTTCTATATTTAAATGTGAAGTAATATGGTCCTCTATCAGTTCTGCAAGAATCTTAAAGACAAAATGTAATTCTTACTTAATTAAATATAATTTGATTAAGTTAGTTAAAACATATAGTTTAATTAACAGTAATTAAATATAATTCAATTATATTAATTAAATATAATTCAATTATATTAATTAAATATAATTTAATTATATTAATTAAATATTATTTAATTATCCCACCCTAGATCGAATGGCAGGCGCAGCACTCAATTTCAAATGTCACTAGTCACAACACCACTCGCCATTCAAGTATTTTTAACAGAAGGGATTGGTTCTGTTATTTGACAATGAAAGAAAATGGCTATTGTCTGATGCAAACCAATCGGTGCGAGATAAAGGGTCAAATTTCAGATTCACGAAAAAATTATCTGCGCGCTCACCCTTGACCTACGGCGTAAGACTTTTTCATACAAAATGCTATAACTACACTATTTATAAAACAAATAATTTTGCATTGTGCTTTCTAACATTAATTCTACTCTTTATTTCATTTGGATTTTAGCAAAATAAACCGACCTGAAGCACAAATTGGTCAATGATTGACAGGAATCTGATGAAGGGGTGAATATATAGTTTTGTGAAATAAAGTTTTATAGGCCTTCTAATATCTTTGGATCGCACATGTGATCTTTTCACTGTTTTGATTAAAAAATAAAGGGAACATTTTCCGCATTGCCTGACCACAAAAACAGTTTCGAGGGTATGCCCCAGTGAAGAGGGTACTTTCGTTAGTATTACATACAAACAACAGAAAAATACGGGATGAGTCCGAAAGACAAGATTCCCGTCGACTAGTGTACTTTTTATATTACTATTAGTTAATACTAATTTTTTCATTGCATCAAATGTAGTGATAACTTATAATTTCATTTCATTTTTAACATAAATATTCACTTGTGCAACTAGCCAATTTTTGCGGTTCTTAAAAAATAGTAATTTTCGTGTGGGTCGACGAACTTGTCTACACGAGTCTCAAGTATTAATAAATTAATGAAAATGAGGGAAATATTTAGCGAAGTAATAATAACAGTCATTTCAATTCGTCGTAGAAATGTTTCATCAAAAAAGTATTTAATGCTCATGAAACATTTCGTTAATGAGCGAGATGAAACTCGTTTCACCGCTAACATTACATAACACACCAAATTTCTAAATGAGATTTTCGAAAATTTAAAACGAAAATTATACTCGCGCCATTATTTTAAGCGTCTCTTCGTCTATTCGTAGAACAGGTTTAAAGAAAAAAATTGGAGCTGTTTTTGAAAGAAAAGAAATGTTACAAATTTTCGACACAAATTACGTTAAATCTACTACTTTTTCAAAAAAATTGTACATGACCTTTTTTAATGAGTAATTTCCGCGCAATTTTGTGGGAAGTATAGAAGTTTTTTAAATGTTTTAAAACATATTTTGTCAAAAACTGCTCCAAATTCTTCTTCAATTTTGGATAGAAGGAGAAAAAAGATTAGAAGAATTATGCAGATCTTAAGAGACTTGAAGACTTAAAAGAATGATGCAGATCTTATTTTCGCTGAACTCTATGAATTTTCGAAATTTGAAAATTTAGAAAAAATTAGAGAATGTGGCCAACCACAGATATCACCTAGTTTGACTACGCGTCTCTGGCGTCACTTTCTCAAATTTTCTGTGGTTTGCTATGAGCGTGGTGCGATTTGTTCTTTTGTACCGAGGTTTCTAATGTATTGAATTGCAATGTAAAGTAATTTTGTAGTGAGAAATGATCCATTTTCTGTTGCAATGTCATCTCGTTCTGTGCTCAGTCCTAACATAAACTAACGTCATTTGTTATCATAGATACTATGTTCAACTTCTTTGTTTGATCTTCAGCGCTTTTTGCGTCATCCAATATTGTTATCGCGATTGCCGAAATGATTGTGTAAAACGCTCCTTCTGGTTCATCCAGTTTCGATACCGAAATCGTAGAGCGTAAAACAGAACTTCCCTTTTCCACCCATTTTATGTTTAGAAAAATTATAACAAAATAACCGTGTACATCGAGATTTAGTAAAGCAGTTGATGACCAAACAACATTGATTAAATCACTCTCTCCCATTAGTTGAATATACAAATTTATATTCTAGAATTTTCAACAAATATTTTCATAAAAAGAATTCATGAAGTTTAAGTAATCAAAATGCCTTTCAGTTGAAATTTTTCACTCTTTATCTCTGAAAAAAATGTAAATAAGTTGAGAAAATCTTAATAAAATTAATTATAAAATCTTCATTAATTTGAACATGTCTTTTTTAAATAAAACATGAGATATTACAATTTAAAATAAACATTTTCAACTGGCATTCCTAGAATGGTATCACCCATCACAAACCGCCCTGTCGTTATTACGTTATTGATGTCTTCTCAAAAGCATAAAAAGATGCGGATATCTCTTATTAATGCCCTGATTGGCAGAAAACATATAATGCACTGCTGTAGGGAGGGTCACGTTCTATTGCGACCAAAAGATTATTTCTGTACCTGCAAAACACCAATGAACGATAAGTTTCCTACCGATTAGGGATATATGACACATGCATAACTTCTTTATGTGAAATTTCCCACCACACGTTCATTAACAAAACGTTATCGTCTTCGACCCCTTAAATGCCCTAGAAGTATATAACATTCATCTGAGTCGTTCTGTATCGGGGTGGGGGAAGTTTCAAAAGTTCAGATATTACACATCGAAAACAACTTCGGAAGGGTCAAGTTTGCTTTGGCACCATTTGGATACCCACGACCTGAAATCCTTGAGCGTGTCTGTTGGTGTGACAGGCGCCCATGGGCCGCGCCTTTCTGCGTACGCCTCCGGGAGCGAGTACCTTCGTGCGATCGTCACCGAGGGGCGAGGCACGGCTGCTTTGGGCGTGCGTCAGTTC